GCGAACTTGACGATGAGGTTGTTGTTGTGAGCCGGGCTGCAGTCATGGGTGTAGAGACAGTACAGCAGGGGGCTCAGCACACAGCCCTGTGGGGAGCCAGTGCTCAGCGTACGTGTGGAGGAGAGATGGGGACCAAGTCTTACAGATTGGGGCCGATTGGTTAGGAAGTCTTTTATCCAGGCACATGTGAGTGGGGGGAGGCCGAGATTGTCCAATATATTTATAAGAATGTCCGGAATGATTGTGTTAAAGGCCGAGCTATAATCCACAAAGAGCATTCGAACGTAGCTGTGCTGTTGTTCCAGGTGGCTCAGCGCGGTGTGGAGAACTACTACAATAGCATCCTCTGTGGACCTGTTGGTGCGATATGCAAACTGGTAGGGGTCAAAGTTCGGAGGGAGATAGTCCTTGATGTGCTGGAGAACCAATCTCTCGAAGCACTTCATGATTACTGGAGTAGGAGCCACTGGTCGGTAATCATTCAGGCTGGTGATGGTAGGCGTTTTCGGCACTGGGATGATGGTTGCAGATTTTAAGCAGGGAGGGATGACTGCCTGGGCCAAGGAGAGATTGAAAATTCTGGTGAAGGTGGGGGCGAGCTGGAGGGCACATGCTTTGAGCACCTTGCCAGGTACTCCATCTGGGCGAGTAGCTTTCCTGGGGTTCACTGATTGGAGCAAACGTCTAACATCATGTTCCCATACAGTTAGTGGAGTGGTACAGTAGGTGGGTGTGGGGGCAGGGCAGGATCAGATGGGTGCTGCTGTGGTGCATCAAAGAAGCAGTTTAGCTCCTCTGCTAGTGATGCACTCAGGTCTCCTGTTGTCACCTCACAGCCTCTATAGTTTGTGATTTTTTATGCCCTTCCACACCTCCCATGAGTTGTTACTGGACAGATGGGACTCTATATTCCTTTTATGGTCAGCCTTTGCAGTTTTTATTCCCTTATTCAGGTTGGCTCGAGCAGCTCGGTACAGAGCTCTGTCACCTGACCTGAAGGCAGCATCACGGGCTCTGAGGAGTGTGCGGACCTGGCTGGTCATCCAGGGTTTCTGGTTGGGGTAAACCCAAATGTTTTTGACCATAGTCACATTTCCGATGCAGAATTTGATGTAGTCCAGTACTGTTCCTGTGTATGTTTCCATCTCTTGGTGTTCAAATAAGTCCCAGTTAGTTTGTTTAAAACAGTCCTGTAGGTCATCGAGTGCATTACCAGGCCAGGTTGTAACAGTTTTGGTTGTAGGCCTCGCTCTGCGTCTGAGGGGAGTGTAAGCAGGGGGGAGCAGGAGGGAAAGATGGTCTGACTGCCCAAGGTGGGGGAGGGGTATGGCTCTGTATGCGTGTTTAATGTTCGAGTAAACATGATCCAGAGTATCCTGGTGCATGCTCAATAATCCAGGTAGAAAAATCTAAAAAAGTTAAATCTGGTCCTCTGGACATTCAAAAAAA